ACAGCGGTAGAGGAAGCCCTGATAGAGATATATTCTATAATAATAAAAAAATACAAATAAATTTTTATTCGTAAACAAACATTTGAATTTTGTTCTTATTAGTTATTGAAGCTGAATTTAGTTCGAGGTTTGTTATAGTTGTTGGTTCGTTATTCAAGCTGAATTTAGTTCGAGGTTTGTTATAGTTATTGGTTCGTTATTTAAGCTGAATTTAGTTCGTGGTTTGTTATATTTGTTGGTTCGTTATTGAAGCTGAATTTAGTTCGTGGTTTATTATAGTTGTTGGTTCGTTATTGAAGCTGAATTTAGTTCGAGGTTTGTTATAGTTGTTGGTTCGTTATTTAAGCTGAATTTAGTTCGTGGTTTGTTATAGTTGTCAGTTCGTTATTCAAGCTGAATTTATTTCATGGTTTGTTACAGTTGTTGGTTCGTATTTTAAGCTAAATTAGTTCGTCGTTTGTTATAGTTGTTGGTTCGTTATTCAAGCTGAATTTGTTTCGTGTTATAGTTGATGGATCATTTTGAGGCTGAATTTGGTTCGTGGCCTTACAGTTGTTGATTCGTTATTGAAACTGAATTCGGTTCATGGTTCGTTATAGTTATTGGTTCGTTATTGAACCTCAATTTGGTTCGTGGTTAGTTATAGTTGTTGGTTCGTTATTGAACCTCAATTTGGTTCGTGTTTAGTTATAGTTGTTGGTTCGTTATTGAAGCTGAATTTAGTTCGTGGTTAGTTATAGTTATTGGTTCGTTATTGAACCTCAATTTGGTTCGTGGTTAGTTATAGTTGTTGGTTTGTTATTGACGTTGAATTTAGTTCGTGGTTAGTTATAGTTATTGGTTCGTTATTGAAGCTGAATTTGGTTCGTGGTTAGTTATAGTTCTTGGTTCGTTATTGACGTTGAATTTAGTTCGTGGTTAGTTATAGTTATTGGTTCGTTATTGAAGCTGAATTTGGTTCGTGGTTAGTTATAGTTGTTGGTTCGTTATTGAACCTCAATTTGGTTCGTGGTTAGTTATAGTTGTTTGTTCGTTATTCAAGCTGAATTTGGTTCGTGGCCTTACA